CAAACGCAGTTTCAGAAGAGCACGCTCGACACATAAGGTCAAAGACCTCAAAGCGTTAAGGCCTGATGGCGGGAGAGTGTAGTGAGACAGCACTACAATACAAATCCTGAACTAAAGTGTCGTGAAGGAGTGTCAAGGCCGAACTTAAGGGTATCAAGGCATAGTCCTCCCGGAGTTCAGGACCAACACAGATTCCGAACCACACAACAGAACGGAACTACCACTCCTCACCAAAGGACACCAACACCCAAGATCCGACCCCCTTGCTCGTCTCTCTTGACCTTGTGCCTGTCTCTACTTTCCTTGCTTGATTGTTGTCACTTATCTTATCACTCCACTTATCTCATCGCCCCATCCTATTACCCTGTCTTCTTTACTTGCGACTACGTCTCCCGCACAGTATACAGCAAGACCCTACTCTAAGTCCCAGTCAAACACTCTTACACACACACAGACCAGTCACATCACAACAGTTGAGGCTGCAACGGGGGAAGGGGGAAGGGAAAATGGTCGCTTGAGCACAGCTGTTGCGGTTTGTTGCAGCAAGCAGCAAAGTGTTGTGTCTGTAGTAGGCTGCTGTGTCGGTGTATCTGACAGTGCAGTAGGCTTGCGGACAACAGAGAAGGAATGTGTGTGTCCCAAGCTGTTTTGTGGGCGGGGTTGGGGTGTGCGTTGCACAGTGTTGCTGTGTGTGGATGTCTTCTTGTTGAGTCAGGTCGGCTGGTGTTGTTTCGGATGTGTCAGTTGGAGTTGCTGCGAAGTTTCGAAGTCGCTGCTGGTGTTGGTGTCAGTGCGAACGTGTGTGTGCTTTCGTGGCTGGTGGAGCTGACACAGACTTCTTGGGGGTTGTGTAAAATGCGCCAAAAGGAGGAAGCAACAACACAACAACACAACACAACTCAGCAACTCGGTCCTTTTTGAAGCAAGCTGCAACATGTCTTGTGGTCCGCGCAACACGCTGCGTGTCTGTGCGTGGTCGTGCATCTTTGGCGTCATCTGCGCTTGCCGGACGCAAATAGAGTGGAAATGTTCTGGAAGATTCCAGTAAATTTTCCGCAAGCAGTGTGGACGATCGCGACGATTCGTTACGGCTTGGAGATGGTGACTCATGCGTGATGACGTGGAGGTCTGGAAGTTTGGAAGTGGAGTGTGTGTGTGCTGCGTCATCATGCCGTGCTATTATGAGCCATGCATGCATGTGCATCGTCGTTTACTCACTCAGAGGTGTGCATGATGGTGAAAAGATGATGGAAAGATGATGATGTGTACATTGGAGAGACTGGACTGTTCTGTTGGACTGGAGGAATGAATAGAAGAACAACAAGGAATGACGCGATGTGAGTCACATCACTACATCAATGTCCCTCCTCATGTGTGTCACGTGTGTGTCGTGTGTGTCAGTGGAGGGCGTTCATGTGCATGCGCACGGCCCATCGCAGGGGCAGGCGTTTCTTGGTGGTGGGAACAACGTAGTCGTTGCGTTGGATGGGCTTGTTGCGGGGCCGCTGGTACGGTTCCTCCTGGTTGTGTTTGGGGGTTGGGGATGTGGGTGGGTGTGGGTGAGAGAGGGGCCTCGAAGGGGAATGGACGTGGTAGTGCATGCGCACACAGACACAGACACACACACACACACACACACAGACACAGACACAGACACACACACACACACACAGACACGCAAGTACCTTTTGGTCTTCGAGCTGCTGCCTGACGCGGCGGCGGAGTTGGGCGTGCGCATCTTCACCGGGTGCCTTCTGCCGCTTCCACGCCTCTCGGTACCGCGACGCACGCGACACAATATCTGCAAAGATCATGGCCGTGGCGGTGATGGTAATGGTGATGTGGTGGTGGTGGTGGTGGTGGTGGTGGTGAGGGGGGTTGGGGTTTGAAGGAGAGCTGGTAGTTGCCATTGCAATCAAACACGCAATCAAGTCCATATGCACGCACACGCACATACACAGAGACACGCACACATGACACACATGACACACACACACATACACACACACACGCAATTCTACCTGTCTTTGGGCGGGTGGGCTTGACGCGCATGTCGCGTGGCGGGATGAAGGAGGTGCGGTCTGCGAGCGGTTTGATCTCCTCCACATCCGGGACCGGCGGCAGCGGGTGGCCTTGAAACCCCTCGCTCTGGGAGGAAGTGGGGGGGGGGAGTGAAATGAGGGAAGGTGAGGAAGGTGGAAGGGTAGAATGAGGAAGGTGAGATGGCAACATGTAGGAGTGCGTTATCCAAACACACACACACACACACACACACACACACGAAGCTGTACCGAGGCGTTGCTGATGTCGAGGTCGTACGGGTATCCGAGGTCCTCGTCCGCGTACAGGTCCACTTCGTCAGGGCCAACGTCCGAATACAGATCAGACTGCACCGTCATGTTCTCCATCTGTTATGGGGCGGGGTATGAAGGGGGTAGTGGGGTTTGAGGTGTGAGGATCGTGCCTTTTGTCAGGTTGCTGTGGTGGTGGTTCGTCATGGAGCAAAGCACACAAGCACACACACACACACAAACACATGACAGCAGTGTGGTCTGTATGCGTACGTCGTCCAGAAGATCGAGCAATCCGTCCTTCTCTTCTTGCACATCGTGCGCGACAGAGTCGAGGACCTGTGTGCGTGTCATAGAGGTTCAAGGAGAATGGGTTAGGCAAACATGGGGGAGAAGACAAGGCGCAAGTGCACAGACACAGACACAGACACACAGACACACAGACACACAGACACACAGACAGGCACACACATACACACAACAGACAGACACACACACACACACCGATCCATCCATCATGACTGTCTTGCGCCGTCGTGCGCCCATGGATGCCTGGCTGGTATTCAATGGTCGCAGCACATCAGCGCGCTTGCCTTTGGTGGTGGGAGGCAGTGAGTGAGGATGAGGATGAGGGAAGGGTGATGTGCCAGTGGCGAGACGACAAACACACGTACGCACACACACACACACACACACACACACACACACACACACACACACACACACATACACACACACACACACGCACACGAATACACAAGCACAAACACAGACACAGACACAGGTGCGCACACCTGGCGTGTGTCTTCTACTGCGGCGGTGCGGTTGTTGTGATTGTCTGCTCTGTGGCTGATGAGGGGAAGGTGCTTCGTGCTGGTGAGGTAATCGGTGGGCTGTTGATGTTGACGTTGATGGGGCAGATGCTGAGGTTGAGGAAGCAGAGGAGGACGGGCGACGCCTTGCCGAGCTTGTGCTCGTGTTCTCGCTGCCCTGTGCTTCATCGCTGCCCTCTGTTTCCTGCAGCGCCAACCTCACCAAGTCTTTGGTTGAAAGAGTGGAGAAGGACGATGACAGGATGGGTGAAAAGGGAGAACGGGGGAAGTGGGGGGGGGGGAAGGGACAAAGTAAGGCACGTTCGTGTTGAGGAGGTGGAGACAAGGAAGAAGGTAGTGCATTAGTGTAAGCACGGCAGACACGCAGACACACAGACACAGACACACAGACACAGACACACACAGACACACACAGACACACACACACAGACACAAACACAGACACACACACAATACACACCTTGTGTAAAGTCGCTGAGTACGTCGTCGGGGACGTTGTAGTAGCCGAGTTGCGCCAGCTGTCGCCGCACATCCCGCACCGTGAACCACACAGCCATCTTCGCGCTGCTGTTTTGGTTTTGGGGAATTGAAAGTTTGGGCGATTGGTGAGTGTGGTGGTGAATTTTCGTAGGAACGGACAACGACGAGCAGCAAAGCAAACAAACCAACATGGAGTTGCCCTCTGTTGGCCAGCATTGCTCGCTCAGCAGCTGCACACGACTCGGTGAGACAGGCGGCTGCACGAGTGCGTGTGTGTGTGTGTATCTATGCCTGAGCTACGCTTTGCCTTCGCCTGGTTTTCACCCCCTAGCTGCTAACAGCAACGAGAACGAAAACAACAGCTCACATCGCTCTCCTTTCTTCCTTTGCTTCCCTCAATTCAAGACTTCCTGCCATACACATGTCCGGGTTGTCAGCAAGTGTTTTGGTAGGTGCGTGTATTGACAGTGTTGACTGTTTTGACAGTGTTGACTGTATTGACAGTGTTGACTGTATTGACGGTGTTGACAGTCGCCAACAATCCGTTGCTGGCTTCGTTTGTACAGTTTTGACTGCTGTCTCCATGTGCCCATGACTTGTTTTCCCGCAGCGACAAGCATTGGCGGCCAGAGCAGCACCGTTGCTCCGTCGAGACGTTTGACGTGAGTTTGTGTGCTGCTGCTGCTATCGTACTCATTGTCATTGATGTGTGATCGTTTGCTTATTCCAACTCGTGTTCTCATGCACCCACCCACCCACCCACACCCACACACACCCACACACACACACCCACACACACACACACACACACACACACACACACACACATACACACCCACACACACACACACACACACACACACACACACACACACACACACACACACACACACACACACACACACACACACACACATACACACACATACACACACACACCCCAACACACACACACACACACACAGGATGTGAAAGCGCTGAAATGTCCCCTGTGCAAGGCCAAGATTCAGCCTGTCAAAGGCCAAAACCCAAACATTGCAATGGATGAGCACATTGATTCTGGTTGCAAAAAGCACAAGGTGGGAGGGGCACGCATGCTTGGGTCGTTGTTGTGGCTTGCTGTGGGCGTGACCCTGTCCGCATTCATATTAATGCACACTGATCTTGTTTGTTTGACCGTAGGTGCGAAAAGCCAACCCGAACCGATGTAGCTGTGCAGGCTGCAAAGTCACTGAAGTCATGCCGTTCCTGGTGCGTTTGCATGCGCGTTTGCATGCGCGTGCGTGTGCGTGTGCGTGTGCGTGTGCGTGTGCGTGTGCGTGTGCGTGTGCGTTTCTCATGTGAGTGTAATGTTGAAACCCTCTGGTGAGTCCACGTGTTTGTTTTGTGACCTGCTGATGCCACAACCTTAGCACCTCCATAACAGTAGTACCACCTCTGTTTTCACTCCCTTTCACTCTCACACTTTGTGGTCCACGCTTCACGATTCATGGTTCACAGTGCGACCGGTGCCTGAAGAACTACTGCCTCAAGCATCGACATCCAGACGACCACGACTGTGCGGGCCGATCGTCCAGCGCAGCGCACACAAAACGGTCACAACCACGGACACAGCCAAGGTCACAACCGCACAAAGCGCGCCAGCACCAGCAGCCACGACAGCAGCAGTCGTCGTCATCGTCGGCCGCGAGGCACCAGAGCAGGCGACCGGCGGGGCAGCGGCTGAACGACGCCGGATACGGCGCACAGCTGGACAGGTGTGATTGTGGTGGTGGCATGTGTGTGTGTGCATGCGTGCGTGTGTGTGTGTGTGTGTGCGTGCGTGTGTGTGTGTGTGTATTCATCCTTCGCGATGGCCATTGGGTAAAACCTGACTCGCACGTTGCCTTGTTCTGCAGGCAACGCCAGCAGCGCGCTCCAGCACACCCGCAGCAGGCGCAACCAGGTGAGAACAGCTGTGTGTGTGTGCGTGTGTGTGTGTGTGAATGTCGCCGTGATTGAACTCTCAGCCTTTTGCCCACTGCTCCGCACACACACACACACACACACACACTCACTCACTCACACTCACTCTCACACACACACCACACCACACCACACAACACCACACCACAGCCGGGCTGAGCGAGGAGGAGGCTGTAGCGCTGGCGATGCGGGCGTCACTGGAGGATGAACAGCAGCGGCAACAACAGCAGCGGCAACAACAGCAGCAGCAGCAGAAGAAGGGGAGCGAGTGCGTGTTGTCGTAGGCGTGTGAACCAGTACTATCATGCATTGCCATGCACCTGTCCCTTCCCTTGCTTGTCCACTGTTACTTTTTTTTTTTCCTTGTATATTTTGCCGTGTTTCGGCTTGGGCGCACAGGAGAAAGGCGAGAGCAAACACGCGATGCACAGACAACACAACATGGCACGGAAAGGGGATACAGAAGGGGGAGACAGAGAGACAGAAGGGAGGCAGAGGGAAGCAAGGAAGGAAGGCAAGGAAGAAAGAGGGGGAAGAAACGCACGAGAAAACAGAAGGGAGACAATACGAAGGAAGGGGGAAATGTAACGGGAGGACATTCACACGTTCAGTTCACAACACCAACGACAAACAAAACAGCAAGAAACGTGCATCGCAACATGAGAGCAGACACCGCCCTGCACTGCCCAAGCGCTTGGGGCTTTTGTTGGGGGTTTGTGTTTGGGGGGGGGGGGAGGGGAGGAAAGAGAAAAGAAGAGGGGAGGGGAGAGGGGAGGGGAAGGGTTGCTTATTACAAATGTAGAATCACATCAAATAGCATGGGGTACAGTTAGAATAGCACATGCCTACATCCTCCACCGAGTACATCTCAGGCGGGCACGGACGGTTGGCCGAACGAGGGAAGGCAAGGGGGCGGAGGGGAAGAGAGAAGAGAGAACAAAAACAAAGGGGGGGGGGCTGGAGGCTTCGATTACAAGAGACAGGTGGACAGACGTACAGTCACACATACAGACAGACAGACTCGCGCACCACAAGAACAAAAGAACAATAACAACAAGAGCAACAACAACAAGAACAAGAACAAGAACAAGAACAAGAACAACAAGAACAAGAACAACAAGAACAACAACAACAACAACAACAAGAACAACAACAACAACGAATACCACACACACACACACACACACACACACACACACACACACACACACACACACACACACAAATCAACCAGCATCACTAAAGCCAGAGCTCATGCAATGTGCTGGATGCGGCGATCAAGGACGAACTTGGGCACTGCAAAGCGCTGCCCGTCCGGCCAATAAAACTGCCGGCTCGTCGGCGTCTCTGCCCGGGGCTCGCACGACAGTGGCGATGATGATGACGGGCGTGGGGGCGACGTGGGTGGCGGCGCTGGTGCATGTGCCTGCGAGTCGTGTTGGCTGCGGCCTTGCAGGTGTTGCAGCAGTTGCATCGCGTGAAGTGGCTGCTGGTGGTGGTGCTGGTGTTGCCTGGTGTGGTGCTGCTGCGTGGGTGGCGCCTTTCCTGGCGATGACATCACTGCTCGTGTCGCTGTCACCTTTGCACGGGACCGCCGCACGTCCGCGTTGCCGCTGCTGTCGCTCTGCGATCGCTGATCAAGATGGGCAGCCCCATGCTTCGCCCCTCCACGTCCACGTCCACGTCCATACGAATATTTCTGGTACTCATCCTGCTTCTGGTGCTGATCTGGCTTCTGTTGCTTATCACTACCACCAACGCCAATACCATCACCACCAGGTGTGGCGGCAACGGCTGGGCCGCCGTTGGTTAAAAACTGCAGCAGGTGCGTTCCCTCCAGCGATGCCCCCACACCACCACCGCCACCAGTGTGTCTGCTGTGTTCGCGGGCTTTGGAGCCGCTGCTCTTTGATCGCGGGCGGATGTCATCCCCGTTCGATGCGGTTGCCTTTCCTTTCGCGCGGCTCTTGCCTGGTGTCGTCTTGCCTGCAGTCGCCGTGGCGGCCCTCCTTGATCCTGATGCCGATGACCTTGATGTTGATGCTGCTGCTGATGATGCCGGCGCTGATGATGGCACGTGACCGGGCCGCTCGCTGCCCTGTGCGTTCTTCTCGCGCCTCTTCTTTGCTCGCTTGGCCTTTGTGGGCGTCTTGGAGTGGCGGGAGGTCGTGGCGGCCTTGGGTTGTGTCCGCTCCGTCTGCTGATGCTCCTGTTGTTGTGCTGTCTGCTGCTGCTGTTCGTGTTGTTGTTCGTAACGATGATGATGATGATGATGATGCGCGTGACCTGCTGCGGTCGTCGTAGTCCTGGTTACTGGCGCGGTTCCATACTCGTTGTACAGGTGGAGCGGCGGTCGCGTCGGCGCCATCGTCGTCATCGCTGTGGCCACGGCGGTCTTGATCGTCTTTCCTGACGACGATCGCGGGGATGGGCGGTGGTGGCGCGTGCCGTTGGTTCGCACCTTTGATGGGGAGGTGGCGGTTGCAGTTGCGGGTGGTGTGATGGGAGAGGCATCTTCTTGCGCCATCTGCTTGTGATGAGTCACGGCGACGGAGGTACTGGGCGCGGTGGAGGGGGACGAGGAAGGGGACACGGCGAGCGAGGTGAAGGGGACAGAGGCAACGTCGTAGCCAAGCGGAATCTCAAAGGGCGAGGAGTAGGCGGTGTTGCCGGCGCTGCCGCTGCTCCCCACGGCGATGGACGAGATGGGCCCATTGCTCATGGGGTCGCGGAAGAACTGGTCTGGGCGGCCGTGCGGCTGCTGGTGGCGCGGGCGTTGGTGATGGGTGCGAGGGTGCGATGATGGTGCTGGGGGTGGTCGTGGTGCGGGGCCCTGTGCGGGGCGAAACGGGCTGCGGTGCGGACTAGGGTGCGGCAGGGCCGGGTGAGCTGGGCCAAAGGGAGGCGTGAACACCGAAGGTGGCGGGTACGCAGAGTGCTGTCCGCGCATGGCGGGATATTGCTGGTGGGGATGTGACATGCGTTGTTTGCATGTGCGAAATTGTTGTTGTTGTTGTTGTTGTGTGGCTGTGGATGTAGCGTTGGTGTTGGTGTTGGTGGGGGGGGGGATTGGGGAACCAGGATGAGGAAGAAGGTCTGCAATGAAATGACCATACACGCCAAATATGATGGTTTGTGTGAGTCAGATGGATGGTTTCAAATCATGTCGCACAACAACGAAACAAAAAAAAAAACGTAAACAAGCAAAGAGACACACCAACGCGTGTGGTGATCGTTGCGTGGCTGGGTGTGCGTGCACGCACGCGCTCACCTTGTGTGGGAGAAATGGAGGGTAGTTGTGGATGTGTGTGCGTGTTTGCTCTGGTGTGGGGGGGGGGGAAGCACAACAGAAGATACACACGGACGATTGATGGTGGGGGGGGGGTTATCAGGGTTGGTTTGTTGTTGTGTGGAGGCACACGGACGGATAAAGCGACACACACACACAAGCAAGAAGAAAAGGCGAACAACGCAGCAACCGACCAATCCGGAAAATTATATGAAGACATTCGCCATTTATCCGTAACCTCGCCAATCCTGGGTTGGTTGCGTTGTGTTGTGGTTTGGCATGCGAGAACAAGAAGCCACCCACCAAGCGAGCGAGGAGGAGCCAAGAAAGCAACAAAGACAAACGGACGACAAGGACGACGCGCAGCCGCAGCAGCAGCAGCAGCGCGATGCGAGCAAGACGCACGCTGGTGGCTGTGGTTGTGGCTGTGGCGGTGATCGCCATGGCAGTGACGAGCGTGCAGGCGAGGGTCTTGGTGGGACAGGGACCAAAGGCGCCGAAGACCGATTTGGCGTTTCACAATGAACAGGCGCCAGGCGCCTCCGCCGCCACCACAACCACAACCAATACCACCACATCCACCAGCACCACTGTGGCGACGACTGTCATGCAGCCACAACACCGCATGGTCGTTTCAACAACCGCAACCACAACAGCAGCAACCACCACAACCACAACTGCTGCTGCCAACAAGAAGACAGCCGCAACCACAGGTGCAGCAACCACCACCACAACAACCGCAACCACCACCACCACCACAACAACAACCACAGCAGCAGACGTCAACAAGACAACAACGACGACGGAGCAGAGGTTCAACATCTTTGGTGATTTCCGTCCCAATCCACCAACAACTACCACGCGAGCGCGGGCAACGACCACCGGGACAGCGTCCGATCGCGTTGCAGACAAAACGCCAACGACAACAACAGATGGGCTTCGGCCATTCGTTGGTGGCACCACCACAACGGGCGTGCGGCCACCACCGCCCGATGCACTGACAACGATTACCACGGCAAAACCAGCGGCGCCGCCACCACACACAACAACAACAACAACAACAACGACGACGACGACAACAACAACAGACCGACATCCACAGGCAACAATCACGCGCATTTCCTCCAGCACGAGCGCCAACAACGAAGGTCTGACCGTTGCTCCAACCCCGCCAACCACGGTCCCTGACGACAGGCCTCCGCGGGATCCGGGGCTGTTGGGATCGGAGTGGGTTGCCATTGGCAGTGTTGTGGGCATTGTGGGCCTCATTGTGGGCATCTTCCTCATGCTTCGCACCCGCGGGAGCAGGCGCCAGGACCGCTACCACCTGCCGCAGATTGAGCTGCACCACCTCCATCAGGGTGGCAGTCGTCATGCACATGGCCACAGACACAGTGCTGGCAGCGGGGGTGCAGGCCGCGGCAACAAGTTTGCACCCTACATCGATGGGGACGCATCTGTGATTGCGGACACGGCGGTCGTGGCGCCCGTGCCCGTGACGATCCAGCCGGAGCATGGCGATATGCGCACACGCCCACACGCGCACGCCCACACGCCGCAGTTTGTTGATGCAGACGGGCGCCCGGTCGCGAAGCGAACGAAGAAGGGCAGTGGCGATGGTCGCAGTTGTGTTGGTGGCAATGGTGAAGATGGGTTGGCGGTGCAGGGCGAGTTGTTGCAGCAGCAGCACGAGCACATGATGTCCATCTTCACCGACATGCTGCCGACGTTTGGCGATGGCGGGAGCGGAAGCATGCTGCACGATCACCAGCGCCAGCAGCCGCATCAGCACAGACACATGCACAGGCAGCACCAGCTGTTGCACTCGTGCGAGTCTGAGGTGCAGCTGCTGCCGCCCTCACCGTCGGCATCCCCGCTTGACGAAGCGATGCCATTGTGGCCGGTCGTATCGGCCTCATCCACATCCACTATGACAACCACCACCACGACTGCCTCCATGGCAACCAGCACCAGTCACACCACCGCCACCACCGCCAGCACCAATCACACCACCGCCAGCACCAGTCACACCACCGCCAGCACCGGTACAGCTACGGCGGGAGTGACAGGGGCGGCGCCTGCGCTGTGCGATTCACTGCTGTCGCTTGGGTGCGTGGACGATGCGTGGGACGTGGGGAAGGAGGATGGCGCGGGGAGTGGTGGTGATGGGCAGGGTGTTGATGGAGGTGATGACAGGGTAATGGAGGGTGGCTGCGCGAAGCGTGCCAGCAGCACAGGTAGTGGGAGCCATGCAAGCAGCGGCAGCAGCCCAGGCAGTGGGGTGTCCGTGAGCGGTGGCAGTGGTGTTGAGGGAGGTGCACGGGATGCAGGGCGAGAGGCGTACTTGGAGATGGCGCTGGCGCTGCTGGCAAAGGTCAACGCGTACAACAGCAGCCGATACGGCGACACGCCCAGCGACAGCGACAGCGACGCAAAGGAGGCGAGCGACGACGCGCACAGCCACAGCACGGGCACCAACGACAGCAGCACGAGCCCTGTGCTGGAGGAGGCAAGCGATGGTGTGCACGAGGGCGTGCATGATGTGAGTGGAGTGGCGACGGACCCGCGGGTGCTGGAGGTTGACGCTGCGCTGCTGCTGTCGTGCGCGTGTGTTCTCGATCGCATGGACGGCCTGTGCGCAGCAGCGAAGCTGCACCCCGTGCTGGACGTGACGAGCAACGACGGTGATGGTGATGGTGATGGTGATGTTGATGGTGATGGTGATGATGGTGATGGTGTTGGTGCGGCTGCTGAGGAGGAGGAGGGGATGAGAAGTGTTGACGGGAATCGTGCTGGTCGTGCACAGCAGCGTGATAAGCAAGAACAGACGACAACGACAGCACCAGCGGCAATGCTGGCGAGAACAAGGGCGAAAATGGCCAAGACGGGCCTGCTGCGGGTAAATGTACTGCAGCTGTTGGCCAAGGGTCGGTTATCGCACAGCGTGGGCAAGGCGCTGCTGCACTTTCTCAAGACCAGCGACATCATAGCCACCCCCGCATATGTGGACGAGTGTGACACGAGCGGACACACGCCGCTCATGAATGCGTGCATGCTTGGGCACGAAGACGTGGCGGCCGTTCTCGTGCAGCGGCTGGGCGCCAACGTCATGATGCAAGACGGATACGAGCGCACGTGCCTGCACCAGGCGGTCATCTACCAGCAGCACGCCATTGTGTCGATGCTGCTGCTGCTGCGGTGGCAGCAGTCTGCGCGGGGCATGTACGCGTCGCTGATCCACACACGCGACCGCAACGGGTGGCCGCCGCTGATATGGGCGGTGGTGCTGGAGGATGCGCGCAGCGTCACGGACCTGGTTGGCGCGGCGCACCACGACGCAGGCACGGGCACCTCGCGCATGCCGGTGGTGGACAAGGATGCGCTGACGACGCGCGCAGGCAGCACGTGCCTGCACGTGGCGGCGGAGCGCGGGCTGGTGGAGATGGCGCGAACCATCTGCGATGCGTGCACGCGCACGTCGCTCATGATGCTGCTGCACCTGAAAGACAGCCAGCGGCAGGACGTGTTTGCGGTTAACGCGTGCAAGCTGCACGATGCGCAGCAGCATGGCGCCCACGCCGACGCGCACCACACCAGCACCCACGCGCACATTGGCCGCATCCTCATGCAGGCCAAGCAGCGCGTCTTTACTGCGACGTGATTGATGTGTGTATTGGTGTGGTTGATGTGTGTATTGGTGTGCGATAGTGTGTGCGTGTGTGTGTGGTGTGTGTGTGTGTGTGTGCGATAGTGTGTGGTGTGTGTGTGTTGACATGACTGTGAGCGAAAGGTGTTTGCCTGCCAGGATTTTGTGACCCGACATGATAATTCGTAGCGCGACTGGACCAGAATAAAATAAATTCTTCTACTGCAGCAGAGAGGCAACGGCTGGTGTCTGTTGTGGAGCTGTTGTGTTTGGCACCCGAGAAAGTGAAAGGAGCGAGGATGAGCTTTCTGTTTGCTGGCAAGGCCGACGAGCCTGAGCCAACGCCAGCCGATATGGTGTGTGTGTGTATGTGTACGACGGAAGGTGTTTGGGGGAGGAGAGCTGTTCTGAGGGATGGGTGCTGGTGTTTTTGAGAAGGATGTTCTTCATGTCTGGATGACTGGATGACTGAATGACTGAATGACTGGCGCATGCATCTGTCTCGCTCCCTCACACACTTATGCACATGCACGCTGTAGGTGGAGAAGCTGCTGACGCGGCTGAGCACGGCAGTGAACCTGGATGACAGGCGTGGGGCCGTGCGCGGGCTCAGGCTGTACAGCCAGAAATACAAGGTGCGTGGTTGAGAGTGTGTGCGCGTGCGTGCGTGCGTGCGTGTGTGTGTGTGTGAGTGTGTGAGTGTGTGTGAGTGTGTGTGAGTGTGTATGTGTGTGTGTGAGTGTGTGCGTGTGTGTGAGTGTGTGCGTGTGTGTGAAACAGAGTGCGTGTGCGTGTGTATGTGCGCCTGAGAGACGGTGTGAGTGGGTACATTTTAGATGTTGGACGCTCATGAAGCCCCACTGTCCCTCGTTCTACAGGTGGTTGTGGGCAGTCAGGCCATCATGGCGCTGGTGGACGTGCTGAAGGACGATCGAGCGGACGTGGAAATGTGCAACCTGGCGCTGGAGACGCTCATCAACCTCACCGCCCCAGACAAGGAGGTGAGGCACCACCGCGAAGAGGAGAGTCATGAGGCAAACCAGGAAGAGGAGAAACACAGGAGATGCCATCAAGCGAGCGCATCAGTGGTGAGGTTTAGCAGGTAGAATATGCGCAGCTCACGGTCAACTGCTTTGCATTGTCCCGACAGTATCCGGAAGGAGAGACCCCACCTGACACGGACACGGGCGTCATGTTCACGGAGATGTTTGTCAAGGAGCCGGTGGGTTTGTTGCTGGGGGCGGGGGTGGTGGTTGAGGTGGAAGTGGTAGAGAGGATTGGAGGAGGTCCCGGGAGAGAGGACTGCTGCTGTGTTGGGGTGTATGTGTAAGCGCATATGCGTGTGTTTGCAGTGATGAGTTAGCTTCCTAACATCTCGTCGTGACTGCTCGCTGCTGAATCGCTTGCACAGGACCACGTGTTGCTGCTGCTGTCACTGCTGGAGGAGAAGGACCTGCACGTGAGGTGGGGAGTGAGGCTGTGTGGTCGCTGTTTGATTGTATGCTGGTTGCTGTGCAGTTTGCATGTTGTGTGCTGCTTGTGGTGTTTGTGAAACGTGTATTGCGTGTTGCGTGCTCAGAGGGTGCGACATGGGTGCATCATGGGCGCTGATAATGTGATGGTGATGTGACGGCAGGCTGAACACGGTGAAGCTGCTCACAAATCTCTTCAACAACCGGCCAAAGCTGCTGCAGGTGAGAGGCGTGGGGTGAAGTGAAGTGACACGTGTGTGTGTGTACGTGCGTGTGTGTGCGTGTGAGTGTACGTGCGAATGTGTGCGTGTGAGTGTACGTGTGTGTGTGTACGTGTGTGTTTACGTGTGTATGTGCGTGTGTTTAATGTGCGTGTGTATGTGCGTGCGTGGATGTGTGCATGAATCCTCTCACGCCTGCTTCCATGTGCGGCAACGGTTGTGTAGGAGAGCATCATGCTTGAGCCCGTTGCGTGTGCGCGCCTGATGGACCTGCTACAGGAGCGTAGAGACATCATCAGGAACGAGGTGTGTGTTGTGTGTACATATGTATACTCTTGTGTGTGTGTGTGTGTTCGTGTGTGGGGACTTGTGTGTACATCGCGTGCGTGCCTACGTGTGGGGACACCAGGCATGGAACCAGTGTGGGAAAGTGTGGGTAGTGTTCAAGGGAGACGGAGTGACACACTTTGATGATTTCAACACATTGACACGCACGCACACATACAATCATGCGCATGCGTGCGTTGCAGGGCCTGCTGCTGATGATTGGACTGACGAAAGGCAACACGCAGATCCAGAAGTTGGTGGCGTTTCAAAACGCATTTGAGGAGACAGTCAACATCATTCAGGAGGTGATGTGTACATGCGGGCGCAGTAGTAGTGTGAACGGGAGGGGCAGTGGTGTGCTTTGTGTGTGTGTGTGTGTGCTTTGAGTGTGTGTGCTTTGAGTGTGTGTGTGTGTGTGTGTGTGTGTGTGTGTGTGTGTGTGTGTGTGTGCTGGCGCTGATGAGAGGAGGGAAGGAGTCGGAAGGGCAAACCCCACGACCGCTTTTCTCACATGCTGCAACGTACGCGCATGTATCCATGTGCACGTGTGTGTTTGATGGCGTGTGACAGGAGGGCAACAGCGAGGGCGGGATCATCGTCGACGACTGCCTGAAGCTGCTCCTCAACCTCGTCATCGACAACACCTCAAACCAAAACTTCTTCCGGGAGTCCAGGTGTGTGTGTGTGTGTGTGAGTGCGTAAGAGTGAGTGAGTGAGTGAGTGAGTGAGTGCGTGAGTGAGTGAGTGGGCGAGTGAGTGCGTGAGTGCGTGAGTGCGTGCGTGCGTGCGTGAGTGAGTGAGTGAGTGAGTGAGTGGGTGAGTGAGTGAGTGAGTGAGTGTGAGTGTGTATGTGTGTGTGTGAGCGTGTGTGTGCGTGTGTGTATTCTTGGGGTGACGTTGTTGAAGGGGAGAGCGAGTTTGTACGTCTGTTTGCTTATATTCACACTCAAATCCGCCACGCTCATTCCCTCCCCCTGGCCCCCATGCCATGACCACCGCTGCACCAGTCTGTTCCCGCGGCTGGTGCCGTTTTTCCAGCAGACGGACCCTGCGGCGGAGGAGTGGGGCCAGCAGCGCGTCAGGAACGTCGTCAAGATGCTTGAGTTCATTCGCGTCTTCGTTGCCCCAGCCGTCTCCCAGGTGTT